CCCTGCACACACCCCTGCACACACACACCCCTGCACACACAACCCACCCCTGCACACACCCCTGCACACACATCTCTGCACACACACACCCCTGCACACATGCACACCAGCCCTGCACACACACCCCACCCCTGCTCATTCTGATTCTGTAAACATGGCTAAGGGCCTAGGAATCTGTACTGGCAGAACCATTCCCTTTATCCAGCCTTTTTTTTTGAGATGGAATCTTGCTCTGTCGCCCAGGCTGGAGTGCAGTGGTGTGATCTTGGCTCACTACAACATCTGCCTTCCAAGTTCAAGTAATTCTCCTGCCTCGGGCTCCTGAGTAGCTGGGACTACAGATGTGCCCTACTACACCCAGTTAATTTTAGTAGAGACAGGGTTTCACCATGTTGCTCAGGCTGGTTTCCAACGCCTGACTTCAGGTGATCCGCCTGCCTCAGCCTCCCATAGTGCTGGGATTACAGGCGCGAGCCACTGTGCCCGGCCCAGCCTCTTCTGGCAAATGGGAGGCAGGGTCTGAATCAGGGTGGCCCCAGGGCTCCCTCCCACTGTGGGCAGCAGAACCACGCTGACCACAAGGACAGATGTGGTCCAGGCGTGAGCTGCCCAGCACCAGGTCCTCCTAGGTGGAGCCTAGGGCTCAGTGCCTTCCCATATGGGCCTCTAAGGGTTTGTCTTGAAATGCACACAGGGCAGGATAGGATCCCCCACGCTGCTGCTGCCCCACCCTGGAGGGCCCTGGGGGTGAGGGGACCGCCCGCACAGCCCCCATCTCCCTCAGCTTCCGTTAGTGAGGAAGTGTGAAGCCACTGGGCCCAGGTCACTTCCAGATCTGACTTCGTAGGGAGAAGGTTGGGTGCAGGTGATCACAGCATCGGGGGTGCAGGCAGGACAACCACGGCATCGGGGGTGCAGGCGGGGCAACCACAGCGTGAGGGTGCAGGCGGGGTGACCAGTGTCTGGGGTGAAGGTGGGGCAACCACACGGGGGTGCGGGTGGGTGACCACAGCGTCCGGGGTGGAGGTGGGGCGACCACGGCATCGGGGGTGCGGGCGGGTGAGAGGCTTCACTCCCCACTGGCCAGGCCTTGGCTGGGGGCCCTGAGTCGGGGACCAGGGGCTCCGGCGTCTGTGCCCTTCCATGGAGAAGCAGCCCCCGCAGGTGGCTCTGAAGCCTCCAGAAGGGACTGTGCTGATCTTCCAGGATCCCCTTATCAATAATCGCCCTGTCGGTTCCCCTCCCAGCCTGGCATTTTCCTTCTGGGACTGGAGACTCCGGGGGTCCCTGCTGGGCTGCAGGGGTATTAGGACTAATTTTATTAACAGTATTTATAGGGTCCAGCCCTACAGGGTCTGTGGGTTTTTCTCCTCATGTGTGGAGATGAGAGATCATAGAAATAAAGACACAAAACAAAGAAGAAAAGACAACTGGGCCCGGGGGACCACTATCACCTAGACGTGGAGACCGGTAGTGGCCCCGAATGCCTGGCTGCGCTGATATTGGATACAAGGCAAAAGGGACAGGGTAAGGAGTGAGAGCCATCTCCAATGACAGGTACGGTCACGTGAGTCACGTGTCCACTGGACGGGGGCCCTCCCCTGTTCAGCAGCCAAGGCAGAGAGAGAGGACAGCTTACGCCATTATTTCTTCTATGCATTTCAAAGACTTTTAGTACTTTCACTAATTCTGCTGCTGCTATCTGGAAGGTGGAGCCAGGTGTACAGGGTGGAACATGAAAGTGAAACAGGAGCGTGACCGCTGGAGTACAGCATTGCAGGGAGACGGTCAGGCCTCCGGAGGGCTGTGGGCGGGCCTGACTGATGTCCGGCCCTGCACACGAGGTGTGGACCAGAGTCTTCGCTAAGCCCCCCGGGGAGGAAGAGCAAGGATTATGATGATATTAGAATAAAGACTAATGCTACAAACTGATTATTAATAACGTATCATCATAGCTATAATCCATTTCTAGTATAACTATTCTTATGTATTTTCTTTATGATACTGGAACAACTCGTGCCCTCGGTCTCTCGCCTTGGCACCTGCATGGCTTGCCGCCCACAAGTATTTTCTCATGAGAAGAGCTTTAATCCTAGTCTGAAAATAATCCTAACAACATTAAATCCACACCAAAGTGTCCAGAAAGACAGCACCTTAATTGCCATCCCAGGAACGTACCTGCTTCCCAGAGTCCTTCCCGCGTGCCGGTCAGTGTTCCTGCATCCCGAGTTCCAGCCTCAGGCTGGAAACAGACCTGTCCAGAGGAGGTTGGGAAGGAGCATGCCCAACCCTGGAGGGCTGGGAATTCCGGCAAGAGGTGACACGGAGGCAGGAGGCAGGAGGCGGAGCTGGAGCCTCCCCGCGGTGCAGACCCCCATCCTGGGGTGCAGGCAGACCCCAAGCTCCACCCCTCTGGGCCCTCTCTCTCTGGGAAGCCCCTCGAACTCCGTGGACTGTGAGGACGTGGGAGGCGTGCCTGGGAGCGACGGGGCTGGCTCCGTGGCTGGAGCTGAGGGGAGGGGTTCCTCCCAGTCCACATCCACATCCACAGTGACGCTTCACACCCAAAAAGTACTAATGAAAACCTATCAGGATGGTGGCACCTTAATTACTACTGGAATTCAAAACCGTGGACCTACCACGTAATAGCCACTGTGAAAGGATGTGGGGAGTGCTTAGAGCTGTTTTTTTTTTTGTTTTTTGTTTTTTTTGACACATTTTCGCTCTTGTTGCCCAGGCTGGAGTGGCGCTATCTTGGCTCACCCCAACCTCTGCTTCCCAGGTTCAAGCGATTCTCCTGCCTCAGCCTCCCGAGTAGCTGCGATTACAGGTGTGCACCACCACGCCGGCTAACTTTTTGTATATTTAGTAGAGACAGGGTTTCTCCATGTTGGCCAGGCTGGTCTCGAACTCCTGACCTCAGGTGATCTGCCCGCCTCGGCCTCCGGAAGTGTTGGGATGACAGGCGTGAGCCGCCGCACCAGCCCAGAGCCATTCTCTAGCTAGGGGCCTTCACAGGAGTGTGGCTGGCAATTCTGAAACGAATTGGTGCACAAATGAGCAGAAAGGTAGAGTGCCAGAGCCCAATTTTCAGAGAAGCTACAAATGAGGGGGAGACTGGACCGAATTCTACGGAACGGTGTGGACCTGTGGCTCTAGTGCATGCAGAGAGCTGTACCACCATGCACCGTGGTGGCTGCAGACGCCTCTTGGCTAGCGGCACGCAGCACTGAAGCCCACACTTTGTACCCAGGTCTTGGTTTTCTGGTTGGTTTTTTTGAGACAGGGTCTCGCTCTGTCACCCAGGCTGGAGTGCAGTGGTGTGATTCTCACTCACTGTAGCCTCAACCTCCTAGCCTCCCACAGAACTGGGACCACAGGCGCATGCCATCATGCCTGGCTTATCTTAGTTTTTGTAGAGATGGGGGTCTCACTATGTTGCCTAAGCTGGTCTCCAACTCCTGAGCTCAAGGGACCCTCCTGCCTTACCTCCTGGACTGCTGGGATTACAGGCATGAGCCAGCACGCCCAGCCTCCAGATTCTGGTTTTCTAAATACCATTCCCCGACTCAAAGGAAGCGGAGTTTCCTGGAGAAAGGGCTGATTCCAGGGCTGGGGCAGGGAGGGACCAAGATGAGCCGAGAGCCTCCTGCAGTGCTGGGGGTCAGCCCGTGCCAGGGTGGGGGAGGCTGACCTAAATGCCGTCAGTACGACACTCCGAGTCACAAAGTCAGCAACAGCAACCACTGCAGCCCACGCCAAGAAACAAACAGGTCCAGATATAAATAATGGAGAGTGGGGGAGGGGTCCTCCTTAGAATCCCAAATAGAACCAGTGATTTCATCGACGCCCAGGGCAAAGTGGGTTGAGGTTTGCACGACCTTCAAGGATCTTCCCAAGAGGAACATGAATTAAAAAGGGAAAATGAGGCCAGGCGTGGTGGCTCACGCCTGTAATCCCAGCACTTTGGGAGGCCGAGACAGGCAGGTCACCTGAGGTCAGGAGTTCGAGACCAGCCTGGCCAACATGGTGAAACCCCGTCTCTACTAAAAATACAAAAATTAGACGAGTGTGGTGGCGCACGCCTGTAATCCCAGCTACTCAGGAGGCTGAGGCGGGAGAATGGCATGAACCCGGGAGGCGGAGTTTACAGTGAGCCGAGATTGCACCACTGTGCTCCAGCCTGGGCGACACAGCGAGACTCTGTCTCAAAAGTAATAAAGGGAAAAAGCTAACTTCCCAGTGGAGACGCCTGAGGATGCCGCTGCACCCAGTGGTGAAGGTCACAAATTCACCCGCACCGAGACACAGGGACGCCACACCCCTGCCACCGAGAAGTCATGAAGACCTCCCCACATCGTGGGAAAACCGCACCCCCAGGCAGAGGACAATTCTACAAAATAGCAGCCAGCAGGTTTCAAACCATTCAGGTCACGAAAGAAAACCGAGGAGCTGTTCCAGATTGGAGGTGGCAGCACCAGGACGTGCAGCGGGGACGTCAGACCAGAGACTGCCAGGAGCACCACGGTGCCCAGCAAGTGTCCCGGTTTGGCCGAGGCGCACAAAGACCATGTTATGCAAATTTTAAACTATTTCAAAGTAAGAACCTAACACGGGAGATTCTGTCGGTTTGGACGGGGTCTGAGAATGAGCACTGCCGTCTGCCCAGCCCCCCGCAGTGAACACTCCAGGAGCCCGTCCTCAGTTGTGGGGAGATGGCCACATCCAGAGGCTCACCCAAGGCTCCAAAGCAAAACTTGAGAAAGTTTCCAGGGATCCATTTGTTTATTTACAACAGCATTCTAGGAAAAAGATGAACAGGCCCCTCTCCCCAGTGCCCAAGAGGACAGGACTGAGGCAGCCCCCACCCGGCCATGGCTCTGCAGAGCTCTGCGCCCTCCCCAAGGCTGTTACCCACGACGGACAGGACGTTCTCTCAACGCCAGGGTTGATTTTGGGGAGGCTGGAGGGAACCACACCCAGGACCTACCAACACCAGCCCCTCCCTGGGGCTCCCAAGTTCTGAAAAAAAAAACACCAAACGCAGTGAGCCAAAGTCGGGGTCTCCACGTTCCCGCACGTAACAGCCACGACACCGCTGCGGCCTCCGCGTGGGCTGCGAGGGATGGGCGGGACTGAGGGGGCGGGGACCCACACTCCCCACCAGCCGCCCACCACCTGCCTTTTCTACTTTGGCAAAAAAACAAAAAATCCTGGAAGCCTCAAGACAATGACGTAAACTCCAGGAAACGGAAAAGACAGCAGGTCCAAAGCCCCTCAGCCTCCCAGCAAGTCCGTCCAAGAGCTGCTGGCAGCTCTCCAGGGCCACACTGGCAGGTTGTCCTCAAAGGAGCCCCAACCCCAGCCCAGCTACAGACGGCTCTCCCGAGCGCCCTTCACCAGCTGCTGTGGCTTCCACGCTGGGAAGGCACCCCGTCGTTCAGACGGCAGAGGCGACACAGGCAGCATCGTCCGAAGCGAGGCCCCAGGGACAGGTCCTCTGGGAGACCCAGGCTGCCCACTGGGAGGAGCCGCAGACACATCCTCTCAGACTGCGCCAGCCCGCGGAGGGGCTCTGCCGAGGAGACAGACAGCACAGCCCACGTGGCCAAAGGCACCTCCAGAGGCAGCAGCTGAGTGAGGATGAAGACGGCAGGGTGGGCACACTTGGATGTGGATCTGGGTGACAGTTCTGTCCCCATGGACTGGGCAGCTTTAGGAACTGAGGGAGCGCAGGAGGCCAGGGGGCTCAGCCAGCTGGTAGGGGCAGCCGAGACCGCACTCCTGGAATCACGGAGGAGGAGGGTGTCATTGTAAATGCCACCAGGATGGCGCGGGGTGGCACCTGACATCCCCCAGCACACACAGGCCTGTGGTACCTCCTTGGACTATGTCTGTGCACATGGTGGGACCTCCTGCCCGCTGAGGGGGTGTGGAGAGGCCTCAGGGAGTTGCTTGGCAACAGGGTAGCCCTGACCCCCTCTGGCTGATGAGGAAGCAGCATGTCTGCTGCCCCAGAGTCTGAAGGCCCCCACAGTGCTGGGTAAAAGTCCACAGGGCCCCTGCTGGCCTCCCCGCTGTGGGCCCAGAGTCACAGAAATCACCCCCACAAATTTGCAGAAACTCAACACCAGGACGCAGACCCACCGCCCAACCTAAAGGAACAGGAACACCCTGAGGCCACGCAGGCCTGGCAGGTGAGACACACAGAGTGGCTGCCGGTCACAGCTCCGCAGGGCCAGCACAAAGGCAAGACGTGGTGGGGAGAGGACAGGAACCTTCCAGCACACCACGGGGCAGAGGTGGTGCACTGCGGCGGGGCACGGCTAGTTCCTCAAGGCGGCCAACCTGGAAACCAACAACACGACTCGGGTCAGGGCGGGGAAAGGGGTCTCTGACCAGCACGTGCTCCCGGTGAAGGTGTCTCCTCCGTGTGGTGTGCAATGACCCTTTTCCTCCTCAGTGTGCTGAGAGAACGAGTGACAGGCCTTGGAAACAGACATGCCCGTCCCACTTTTACCTGATCCGTTAGGAAGGGCGCAGTATTCTAAAGTGCACTGCAGACGTGCGTAAACGCCACGCCCGACACACACTGAAGCCTCCAAGCCAGCTGGAGCAGGATGGGGCAGCAGCGGGCAGCTTGGCTCGGGGGCAGCTGTGGCCGGGGCCTCTGAGTTGAGATCAGGGCTCCCTGGTCGGAGCCTTAGCCCAAGCTCTCCTCCAGCCTCTAACCCCCAATGCCCTCTCCCTTCCCACAGGACCAGAGTACGGGGCACACAGCGTTTCGGGGACCGACCCTACCTCCGTGACAGCTGGTCCTCCTGGCTGCGCACAGAGCTCTCGCCCACGGCAGAGGCGCCCTCGGGCAGCTGGCTGAGCTGGTCCAGCACCTCCAGGCCATTCTCCTCAGCGATCTGCATGATGAGGCTGTCCACCTGCTCCTGCGGTGTGGTCAGCGTGGTGGCCGAGCTCATGGAGTCCTCCATCACCTGGGGGCAGGGGCACGCTCTGGTCAACAGGTGGGGCCCAGGCCCACGAGGCCCCACTCAGCTTCACAAGGGTCCGACCACACTTTTCGTTCCCTCACACAGCCAGCCACCTTCTTGCCCTGTTCTCTCAGTGACACTCTCTGCCTCACCTTCCACCAGGAGCCTTTCCTGCCCCCACACCCAGCCCCACCCTCTGACTGCGCCATGCCTGCTGCCTTGGCTGGACATCTTTCTACACCTCTGCATGCTTCTTTGCTGTCTGAGCCTCCCCACAAGGAGCCAGGTGCCTGCAGGAGGCCGCTGCCACCCTGCCCACCCTACCTGTCAGGGTCCTGGCAGGGACCCAGCACAGAGGATGCTTGGTGACGTCAGGGAGCAACCACAGGTATGCAGAGACAGCATGTCAGCCTGTGGGCCACCCCCCACGAGCTGCCCGCACACCCTCCATGTCCCCAGGCCACAGCCCAAGGGCAGGGCACATACCGACGTGTGGACATCCAGGTTCTGCACCTGCTGCTCGAACCTGTCCATCACCGAGGAGACCTTCTGTAGGTCCATGGTGCTCAGGGCCTTGTCCAGAGCTTTGGTCACCTGGGCCATGTTCTTGGTCACCTGAGACAGGAGAGGGTGCAGGAGGGAACGGGATGAAAGGCAAGCAGAGCTCACGCACCAGGGATGGGTCCCCTGGGCTCTGACAGGAGAGCTGCGGCACCCCAGCCCGGACCCACAAAACCCCAGCTCTGGGCTGAGCCATCATCTGGGTCCTATGGAAAGACCAACTCCACGGAAAAGGCTGTGGAGACCCAGGGCGGGGTCCCTGGAGAAAAGGCTAACGACGTGGGGTTTCCAGGACCCCTGTGCCCTCCTGGCCACCCGCACTGTGGGAGGGAAATGCCTGCGACAGCGAAGGCTCTGCTGTGACGTTCCCTGACCCAGCAGATGAGCCTGGCCATGCAGGCTCCGTCTCTTGTGGCAGCTGCCAAGACCGAGGCCTGGCCGGGCACAGTGACAGTGAGTGGTTCACGCCTACAATTCCAGCACTCTGGGAGGCTGAGGTGGGAGGATTGCTCGAGGCCAGGAGTTTGAGACCAGCGTGGCCAACACAGACACCCTGTCTCTACATAAAAACGAAAAAAATCAGCCGGGTGTGGTGGATGCCTGACATCATGGTCTCAGCTACCTGGGAGGCTGAGGCAGGAGGATCGCTTGAGACCAGGAGGTTGAGACTGCAGTGAGCTGAGACTGAACCACTGCACTCCAGCCTGGGTGACAGAGCAAGAGAGTCTCTAAAAAAAAATATTAAAAAAAAAAAAAGCCCAGGTCCTATCAAGAGGTCCTTCCTGAGGCATCAGTGCGAGTGAGGGTGCAGCCTCACCTGTGTCCCCGCCGGCACTGCCCACCCCATGCTGACCCAGCTTCCCTCAACCCTGAGCTGCCCCAGATCCAGACCGCAGAGCCCATGTTTGCCTCAGTCGGCAGACGCCACCCACCTGGCACCAGGGCCCAGCACTCACCCCCTTCATGGTCACGGCCGTCTGCACCTTGGAGGCCACTGCGTCTACGCGGGACGCCATCCGAAGCCAGTTCACACCTTCGTTCTTCTTGCGGATGGCGTTCTCGGCATACACACGGGCACACTCTACATTTTTCTGCTGAAGGGCCTGAAACACGGGGAAACAGCGGCTGGAAGAACTTGGTGGTGTGTGTGCCCCCTGCAGAGGAGCCCAGTGGGGTTTTTTTTTGAGACGGAGTCTCGCTCTGTCGCCCAGGCTGGAGTGCAGTGGCGCGATTGCAAGCTCCGCCTCCCGGGTTCACGCCATTCTCCTGCCTCAGCCTCCCGAGTAGCTGGGACTACAGGCGCCCGCCACCACACCTGGGTAATTTTTTGTATTTTTAGTAGAGACGGGGTTTCACCGTGTTAGCCAGGATGGTCTCCATCTCCTGACCTCGTGATCCGCCCGCCTTGGCCTCCCAAAGTGCTGGGATTACAGGCCGCAGGAGCCCAGTGTTGACTGCTCCTGGACGCCACTGGCTAGGGTGGGCGGGCCTCTCCCCAGAGATGTTTGAGCTAAAAATGCAAACACTCAGGCCCCAGCCCAGCCCCACAAGCAGGCTTCTGCTCCCTGCTGCACCCCTCCAGCATTCCACCGGGCACAGGACACAGCGGGCGACACCCAGAGCCTGTGGCAGGCAGTTCTCCGAGCTCCTTTCTCCCTGGGAGCCTGGTTGTGGGTGAAGAATTATCGAAATCCAATACCCTGGGACCTACTTCACCAATTATGCAGTCTTAAGAGCTGCACAAGATCCCATCTTCTTTTCTTTTTTCTTTTTGGAGGTGGAGTCTTGCTCTGTGGCCCAGTATGGAGTGCAGCGGTGTGATCTCAGCTCACTGCAACTTCCACCTCCTGGGCTTAAGCAATTATCCCGCCTCAGTCTTCCGAGTAGCCGGGACTACAGGTGTGAATCACTGCGCCCGGCCTAGATCCCTCCTTTCCTTCTGCCCTGTCCATCATGGGGAGGGGGCCCCTCCTGGAGAGGCACCCCTGTGAGCCTCCCGCCCCCTCCCACCCCATGATGCCCTAGGCACCAGCTCTGTAAGGACGAGGGAGAGAAAAATGATAGGATCCGCCGGGCCTGGTGGCTCAAGCCTGTAATCCCAGCTACTCAAGAGGCTGAGGCAGGAGAATCATCTGAACCCAGGAGGCAGAGGTTGCCGTGAGCCGAGATGCACCTCTGCACTCCAGCTGGGTGACAGTGAGACTCCATCTCAAAAAAAAACAAACAAAACAAAACAAAAACAAACCAAAAGATAGGATCGTGGCAGGCAGCTAGCTAGAAGCCCTCTTCCTGTACTTTATGGCAAAATCAAGTTCAGAATGTTGGAAATGAAAAGAAGGAAAAGAATGAAGGCAATGCACTCAGCTCTATGCTCTGGATGCCCTCGGTGGGCTGGGAAGGTCTGGCAGGGGCTGTAGAGCAGGACAGAAGCCACTCCGGGCTCCACCACACACAGCACCTCCCTTCCTGTTTGTCTCATGTGGGCAGCAAACACTCTGAGGCTGAGAAATCACGGTGAGGATTAGGCTGGGCACAGTGGCTCATGCCTGTCATCCCAGCACTTTTGGAGGCCAAGGCGGGCAGGTCACTTGAGGCCAAGAGTTCGAGACCGGCCTGACCAACAGGGCGAAACCCTGTCTCTACAAAAAAATTTAAAAATTAGCTGGGTGCAAGCCTGTAATCACAGCTACTTGTGAGGGTAAGGCCCTAGAATCACTTGAACCCGGGAGGCGGAGGTTGCAGTGAGATGAGATCGCACCTCTGCACTCCAGCCTGGGCAACAGAGCGAGACTCTGTCTCAAAAAAACAAAACAAAACGTACATATATACACACACAAACACACATACACACACATATATATATCTCAAGGTGAGGATTAAATTATGATGTAGAAAGTGCCCTGCCCCTCCCCAAAAGGCATCAAAACAAAACAGAACACAAAAATAAGGGCAGAAGAGGACAGAAGACAGACCAGGAGAGTCATGACCCCACGGCCCCCAGGGTCTCACCTTCTTCACTTTGGCCTGCTCTGCCTTGGAGTCCTTCTCCGCCTTCTTGGCCAGCTTCTCCAGCTGCTTCGCCGTGAACTGAGCAGAGGCCAGAGCATCCTGGGTCAGACACGTGGAGCCCATCCCCCAGGCCTTGCTCTCCACACCCCCACACCTGTGCCCACACAGGTTCTAAGCACCCATCAGCCAGCCTGGGCCCAGCACATGGCAGGGAAGGCACGAAGCCTGCGGACATGCATCCCGGGCGGCGAGAGAGCACCAGCTGGAGGAGGAAGCTGTCTGCTCTGCCTCAGGTGCTGTTTGGGTTTTCTCCAGTGTCTCTTCTCCGTCAACACCCTCACCCAAGGCCTCCTCCAGAGCGAAGGGTCCAAAACCTCTTGCTCTGGTCTCATCCCCTGCTTAGAGATGGATTTCAACGTAAAAGAAAGACTCAAGAAAAGTCATTTCAGGCTACCCCCAAGTCGTAAGATGGAATTCCAGGTAAAAACACACCTGAAAATGTTATCTTGAGAGAATGCTGTGGATGCAACAGGTTGCTAGGCAGCACACACAGCTGCTGGGGGCCTAACTGCTCTGCCAGCAAAACAAGGAAACAGGGCCTCTGGCGACCCATCTGGAACCACAGACGCCACAGGGTTCAGGACGGCCAGCACAGCGCCACAGGGTTCAGGACACAAGCAGGCCTCAGCGGGTCCCCTCTGCGCCCAGCAGCATCTGACAGACCCACCATGATGGCAGAAGATCCCAGGAGCTCAGAGCCAGCGACAAGGCAAGATGAAGCCGGCCACGGAGGAGCAGCCAGGAGCACATCCCAGGGAAATGCACAGAAACCTGCCCTGGATTACTGGAAGCTGCAACCACCACCCCACATGGAAGGAATACTCAGAAAGCTCTCCTTCAAACGATCTCAAAGAATGAGTCCACACAGCGGAACACCAAGGCCTAATATCCAAGTTGTCTTTCTTAAGATAACACTCCGGGCCGGGCGCAGTGGCTCACGCCTGCAATCCCAGCACTTTGGGAGGCTGAGGTGGGCGGATCACGAGGTCAAGAGATGGAGACCATCCCGGCCAACATGGTGAAACCCTGTCCCTATTAAAAATGTAGGCTGGGCGCAGTGGCTCAAGCCTGTAATCCCAGCACTTTGGGAGGCTGAGATGGGTGGATCACGAGGTCAGGAGATCGAGACCATCCTGGCTAACACTGTGAAACCCCGTCTCTACTAAAAATACAAAAAATTAGCCGGGCGAGGTGGCGGCGCCTGTAGTCCCAGCTACTCGGGAGGCTGAGGCCGGAGAATGGCGTGAACCTGGGAGGCGGAGCTTGCAGTGAGCTGAGATCCAGCCACTGCACTCCAGCCTGGGCTACAGAGCGAGACTCCATCTCA